GGGGGAGGGGGGGGGGAAGAGGAGGAGTTTAACTGCTATTTATTTGAACGTAATTCTCAATCCTGGCAAGCTGAGATTTCTAAAAAGATATCTTCTGTCGCTCTGGATAAACATCTCCAATTGTGAAGGCCACTGCTCTTTACTTTAACCTTAGCAATTAGCCCAAGCAAGTCCTATCGTTTTGATATGTCCTTTCGTATTTTAAGTAATCCTAGCAATTGCATTTATTCGGCGGATTGACTTAAACCGAAATTTCATTTCCAGAGGAGGTGATACATACTTAGAAAATAAAAACACTTTTATCTGCACATCTCTTGAAAATTTTTTGGTCCAATTTTTTTGCAGAACTCCTTTATGCCCTCAAAAAACGAAACAGAGGCAAGTTTCAGTAATTTACTTTAGTTGATCTTTGACGCTTGCTCGTTTCTCGTTTAACACCATTGCTCACTGAAGTTTTCTCTCAAATACTTCCATTCGATGACACCCTGTATAGACCCTAAGAGCTATTCTAAAGGAATTAGAATCCGAACGCGATTATTACAAGCATCAATCCGAAGAATTGCAGTTCGATTTGAGACGTATCTCGCGCTCCACTTCTAGACTACGTCAGTCGTTTGTGAGTAGCATGTCATGTTCTTGTTTTTTTGGCTCTTTATTCTTCCTTGCTGATTTATGGTTTTCGTCGTTCTGCTATCGTCGGCTGAAATTATTGGAGAATAATTTTAACCTAGCCTGATTTTATTTGTAGGCCAATGTAGATATGGACAATGATCTGGAAACCGCTAAACGAGAACGAAATGAGCTTCAAGCGATGCTGAATAAGTTTGAGAGAAATCTCCTTGAGGTAACTGGATAAATGTATTCTTATAAACTAGTCAGATAAGGAAATCCTTAACTTCTTGAAGCTGTGAAGACGAGTGAGTGGATATAGTCTGTGGAGTTTGAGTTCATGTTCAAATTGTAGAATGGAGAGACTTTTGTGTCCTTTCGGGCATTATAAGGTACTCCATTAAATTTTTTCCCATTGGGTTAGAGACATAAGTTAGTGTTGTAAATTGTGGGCATTCCATTGATTTAAACATTTTCTATCAATCAGAAAAATCTTAAATTTGAGCATCTGTAATCATTAATGCTTGATTTTTTCTACAATGCAATCTGTTGGGCAAAATAGATATTCGAAAATGAATTTCTTCCCTTATAATGAATAAAAATTGCCTATTTCCTTTAGATTCAAGAGGAAGTTCGTTTATTGAAATCGGAACGAGATCAATTGCTGCTGCAATTAGAGCAGGTGTGATAATTTCTTATCCATAATTGTTGTTTTCTTTCAAGGCACGAAAACTGGGTGGTCATGTTAAGAGCCCTATCAGTCTTCCTGACCATGGCCAAAGCTCAATGGAAGAGATTCTGGCCCTAAGAAAAACTCTTGGAAAGTCTAAAGTGGAGCTAGAGACAGCAGAGATAAGGATAAATGAACTGGAGAGGGATTTAGAACAAATGAGACTAGATTTAGATCGAGCGATTTCAGAAAAAGTGGGTTAAGAGATTCTATTTGAAATTTACTCCTGTATAGATTGAGGCGGAAAAGTCAAAAGGCCAACTGCAAACTGCGTTGTCGCAGATCCAAAGTCAAAATTCCGCTTTAATAAATGAACTGATGACACAAAAGAATATGTACAACGAATCGGTTAGAGGAAAGCAGCTATCAAATTCGGCATTATCTGAAGCTCGACGCGATCTCCAAGTTCTTAACTCTCGAATAAAGGAGTTGGAGACTGAATTGAAGGTGGGTTTACCTATGGAATAAGAATTTATTTGAATCTTTTTATTCAAAAATCAACTTTTTCCTGTGTCTTTCAGAGAAGTAAGGATGAGATTGATCGTTTGCAAGCAGTAGCTAATGAGTTGAGCGCGGAGAATGACAATATTCGATCCAGTCTTGACGATCGAACTGAGGATGTTGTTTTCTTGAAACAGGAGCTCACCAAATCTAACAAACTTCTCAATGAAAAAATGGTGCGCTTTATAAGCTCTTATCAAATATTTATTTATTTCAAATGGCAGGCGTTTTGGTAGATATCATTAGCCATTTAGCTGGCTTCGGGCTTCACAGGGGGGGGGAGGTTCATCAAAGTAGCAGAAAGTCGAGGGGTGGGGAACAGAAGAGCGATTCACAGATGTAAAAGAGATAGACGGACACAAAGGTAGAGAAAAAGGTAAGGGGAATACTGTGGAAGGGGTAGTTAGAAGCCAGAAGTCAACTGCCGATTAATAGACTTTTTTGCCGTATGAGTATACTTTGCCCAGGGTGCACCGCGTGTAAATGTTTAACAAAGGGTTCGCTGGTATTTCTTATCGTCTCCATTATTAAGCCCTTTATTTATTAGCTCTAGCATATCCTTCGCCTACTTCTTCTATAGTGGAGCGGAAAATATTGAACAGTGGATGGACTCATCAATTAGGGTGACTGTCGTCAATTTGATGCACGATATTTCACATTTTATTTCCCTTCAGCTTTAGGCATTAGGTTGAATCTTATGCAACCCTTCTTACTGATACAAGTATCTTCAAATTTGTTCATCTTTTCAAAGTATTTCTCAGTTATGCGAATATTTAAATTGGTAATTAGGCAAATCGAAGGTTTCAAATCTTACCATAAAGATTGAATAACGTCATATGAGGTAATTTGAAGGTAATGCTTGAATAATTCAGTATAATATATTCCCGTAAATGAAACCATGATCGGCATTGCTATATGTTGCTTTCAGAATTCCCTTAATATATTTTCATATCATTAATTTTTTCCTGTATTTTATGCTAAAGTCACCTAAGTAGCGTCATGCCTTTATCGCTTTCTAGAAACATCTTGAAAGCGTTGAAAAACGCCTTCGCCAGGTCACGGAAATGACTGCAGACAAAGATCACGAGGTTTGTCTCCTAACTGAACGCCTTCAAGAGCTAGAAACTTCTTCCAAAGTTGTCAGTCAGTGTCGAAACATATCTGAGCAGAAGTATGCAAAGGCTCAGGTAATGAATGATAGTAATCCGAATTTGTGTGGGCTGAATGTCAGCAATACTCATTGAATTTTGTAATATCCTTTCAGTCGGATATGACAGTTCTTGCAGCTGAGGTTGAGAGCCTAAAATTGCGTTTGCAAAGTGCTTCTACAGAGAAAAATGATCTTCAAAGTCGACTGGCAGAGGCAATGCGTGGTTTGACCCAATCTGAACAAGCCATGGACATGAAATTGAAGGAACACAAGGATCTATTGGTGCAATATGGGTATGCCCGCCTATTGTGTCTGTTCTAACCCCTTCTTTCCTCTTTCTTGCAGTTCACTGAGTAGAGACTTTGAGGAACTGTCGATAAAAAATAGAGATCTGGAACAAAACCTTTCTGATATCGAAGGAGTTCTTAAGAGCAAGGAGGCTGACTTGAGAGACCAACTGGATCGAGCTCAAAAAGCTGAAGTCGATGCATTGAATGCGAAACGCGAGCGCTCCGCTTTAGAAGAAAAGGTAATTTCCTTGATTGTAATCAGTATTTATTATAATTGAATATAAACGAACTTAGTGTTTTTGCTTCTAGGTTTAGTTATGTCGCATCGAGGGCTTTGCACGCTTTGCAGAATTTTCCTTCAAGCTTCTATTTTTGTAGCTGTTTGTTTCGTTAGTTTACTACTGGGGTGGTCTGTACCGTTATTTTTGTGTATGTTTTCTCGAAGTAAAGCTTACAAACTTATCCGCGTCTTATATTCAAAATAATTGGATAGTTGTCATTAGTCGAATTCAAAAATTGCTAGTAAATTTTCATTAATTTTCTCTTGATTATTTTGTCATTGCAGGGTCTGGTTGCAATACGTACATGATGAAATTCTACTATTCATATTAGTGACTTCTAAAATGGAGAATTGACGTAGTGATGAGGAGGTATATCTTAGATAGGATTGGAGGGAGTTTTTACATTTCACCAATGCTGCCCGTTGTTAAACTTCACTTAATTTCTATTTTTGGTTCCCTCACTCATAGTCACTTTTCCATACAGATAGCCTCCTCCAAGCAGATTTCAGCAATCCCTGATAAATTTCTTTCTGTTTCCAGATCGTAAATGCGACGCCACTCAGTTTTAGCAGCAAAAATTTCATGGTAGACTATTTAGTTGAATTTGGCCAGGTCATCATTCAAGTCTGATGGGAAGAAGTTTCCAGTTGTTATTGTGAACTCACGGTGCACCCTGAAATTGCAGGTGAACACTCTACAATGATTGTCATTTTCTTAAATGATTTCCTTTATTTGCAAGTGCTCAACAATCAGGCTTCTGATCCATGGTCGAGTCTCGTCCTGTTTCTCACAGTTTTGGATCTAGTCGCAAGAACTAAGATAGTCACGTAGGAGAAACTTTACAGATCGACAGCTGATGTGACATCAGTATTAAGAGTCAACAGACTTCTCCCATGTTATCCGTCAACCATTTTTTCCTACATTTTAGTGTGCTCAGCTATACGCGGCGGCAGAGAAGGCAGACATAAGGGCCGCTCTTTTGGAGGGGGAGTTTGAGGAGGTGAGACGCCAACTTTTGGCTACTCGCGACATAGCTAGCGCTCTCCAAGCACAATTGGACCATTCTGATGAGCATTCAGTCTCCGCGTTCGCTGCTAACAATGATCTCTCTGTGAAATTGGCGGAGTGTGAATTGAAGTTGAAGGATGCTCTCACTGAGGTAAGATTTAAGGATTTTATTATGGTGACACTATTTGTTAAAAATCATGCATTGTTTCATGAACAACTTCTAATGCTAGGGAAAACGTTTTAAAACTAATCTTCAGAAACAACCAAAGATGATTGAATCTGGGTTTGAATAAAGCTCATTATTGATCTTTCGATCCTACTGAAATTTACTCGCTTGGGTATTGGCCGCTACTTTTCTTGCTAAATTGTCAAAACTTACAGACTAAGAAAATGAAATCCTAACTTTTACTGAAAAATATCCGCACTAATGAAATTAACTTGTTGCGGATATCGTATGATCCTTTATCTTTCTAACGTTGGGCTGGCGATTAGATTTTAAGGCACCGAAAACAATTGGTCGACCTAGTCTAACTTGCTGATGAATCCCGTAAAATTATAGGTTTACTATTTTGCCAGTCTCCAACTCGTCTGATAGAAGGAACAATGAAATTAAGAGGAAAAGGCCCTTCTTTTTAACACTTCCTTGCAACCTAGAATTACAAGGCCGAGAGCTTAACTATATTTATTTATCTATTTCAAATGGCAGGCATTTTGATAGTTATCATTAGCCCTTTAGTTGACTTCGGGCTTCACAGAAGGGAGGAACATGAAAGTGGGAAAAATTCGACAGGGGAAAAGGAGAGCGATTCATAGATGTAAAAGAGACAGAAAGACCCAAGGGTAGAGTAAAAGTAAGATGAGTACTGTGGATGGGGTCGAATATGACATACAGTGGGGTCATGGTAGTTTGAAATCAGAGGTCAACTGCCAGTTAATAGACTTTTCTGCCGTATGAGCATACGTTGCCCAGGGTGCACCATGTGGAGGTAAGTCTATCGCACACTATATTTATACAGCGAGTTATTTGACTCGTATTTGAATGCTAAATGAGTGACTGAATTGCTGCAACCCACTCTCTCTTCATGATTAGTCATCCGCCCAATTAACTCATTTTATTGACTACATTTCTATGGCGCGTTATGGTAACGCCCCGGCATCGCAACTCTTGCTCATGACCAGGGGACGAATGTGTACAATTTTTATGGTTGAATTTCCTATCATGTTGTCGCATGCTTTCTTATAAATTCTTCTCCTAGATTTCGCA